TTCCCTAAAAAGCAAAGAATATTTCCCAGCTCTGACTCAGAGGTTGCCTGCTCTTGACCATGGAGGCTCTTTGGGTTCATTTGAGTAGTATTCTCCAGGGAAAAAATGAGTTTCTGCTGGGAAGGGAAAGGGGTCCCAATTATGCTAGAAAGCTCTGGTGCCTAAATATGGGTTTTTTTATGGGGCCAAGGAGGGAAAAGTTCCTGTCTGGCAATGGGGCAAAAAGCTGGAGGCAAAAAGCTGAACAAATCCAGTTAGATCAACAGCGACCTGAGTTTGCTCACTAAGGCAGTCCTGTTTGTTTGCAAGTCGTGGCTTCTGGGTGTTGCAATGGTCTTTCTGTGTGTTTGCTTGTAATGTTTGTCTTTGTGGAAGTCCCCAAAGCGATCTTTAAAAACTTCTCTTTAAAGGAGCAGTGTTGGGTCCACCATTCTCCCCATCCTCCTCTTTTGGGTTCAGGAATTTTAAAAATATTTCCTTCGGCTAAAGTGGAAAAAGAGTCAGAGCTCTGTGAGAGCTGTGCGACTGAAGAGAAAGAAAGAAAGAAAGAAAGAAGAAAAGGGAAAGATATTTGCGTCAAGGCAATTAAAAAATCTGTGCACTGACTTCAGACAGATTGCGCACTTTCTTCCTAACTCTACGAAAATGCAATTGTTTAACAATGCAAATTTGTATAAAGTTGTATACAGCTTGTATATATATTGTGTGTGTGTATATATATATATATGTGTGTGTGTGTGTGTGTGTGTATATATATATATATATATATATATAAAATGTGTGTGCGTATATATATATATGTGTGTGTGTATATGTGTGTGTGTGTATATATATATATATATAAAAAATGTATGTGTGTATATGTGTGTGTGTATATAAAATGTGTGTATATATGTGTGTTATATATATATATATATATATATATATATAATGTGTGTGTGTATATATATATATATATTTATAGTTTGTGTGTGTGTGTATGAATATATATATATATATATATACACACACACACACATACATTATATACACAGTTGCTTGCAATGGGATTCTTGGGAATTGTAGTTGTGCGAGACCTTGAGCCGCCTCTGTCAGAGAGCTCTGGTGCCCCAACAAACTACAAATCCCGGGATTCCATAGCATGGAGCCATAGAAAGAGGTGTCAAACCGGGTTATCCTTGCAGTGCGGATGCAATCCGAGTCACGGCTACCCACCAAGTGGATGATTGCTAAAGACTTGGCTCTTTTCCTCCCTTGCTACACATTCCTTTGTGTTTCCTCACACATCCAAAGAACAAGTCTACCTAATTTTCCCACAATCTGATCTCCTTTCTGCTAGTTGCAGCCGGTCTGCTCCAGGTACAGATTCCAAAGCGCCTTTCTTCTTCCTTGCATTTCGAATATGCTGTCCTCCTGCATTTTTTCGGTGGATTAGGTGTTTAGGAAAAACCTTTTTAATGTGGCTGAAGGTGAGATTCCTTCCAGGTTGTTTACAGGACATTTAGAATAAAGGAACTAGTCACGCCGGGGCCTGCGTCTTCCTTTTCTTAAACCAATGCCCATGAAATGTCCCAAATTGTTTGGGTACAGGTTGCATCTCCCTTATCCGAAATGCTTGGGACCAGAAGTGTTTGGGATTTTGGATTATTATTATTATTATTATTTGGAATAACATCATTTGGATATTTGTATCCATTATAAATACAGGTCAATTAATTAATTAATTAATTGTACATATTATTTATTTAAATCTACAGGTTAGGTCTCCGTTATCCAAAATCCTTAGAACCAGAAGTCTTTGGGATTTTTGGTTTATTATTATTATTTGGAATACCTATATTTGCATTTATATCATTTATACATACAGGTTGGGTCTCCCTTATCCAAAATGCTTGGGATCAGAAGTGTTTGGGATTTTGTATATATATATATATATATATATATATATATGATTTTACCATACCTGTATTTGCATTCATATTATTTATACATATAGGTTGGGTCTCCCTTAATCCAAAGTGCTTGGGATTTCTTATTCTTATTATTCTTATTTGGAATACCTGCATTTATATCATTTACAGGTTGGGTCTCTCTTATCCCTTATGTTTGGGACCAGAAATGTTAGATTTCAGATTTTTTTCCTGGATATTTTGGAATACCAATATTTGCACACACACACACATATATATATATATATATATATATATATATATATATAGACACACACACACACGATGTGGTATCTTGGAGATGGGACCCAAGCCTAAACACAAAATTAATTTATGTTTCCTGTGCACTTTATACACCTAGCCCAAAGGTAATTTCGTACCATATTTTTTAATAACTTTGTGCATGAAACATAGTTTACACGCACTGAACCATCAGAAAGCAAAGGCGCTGCGTCGCCATCTCAACCCCCCATGGAAAAGTTTTGGTTTTTGGAATATTTTGGATTTTGGAATAAGGGAGACTCAACCTATATGTATGGGAAGACCTGGAGGAGACTTCCTTGTCCTCTTTTCCCAACTCTTTAAAGGAGGATGTCAGTCCTTGGAGAGCATCCCTCAAAGAACACACTTAGGTTGGGAAGTGGAAAGTTTACCTGCCAGGGAAGCCACAGGTAGGAACAAAGCAAAGCCTGCAACCCACAACACTTGTTTGTTCTCTCCGTCTTTTCATCTCTAGGCTCCCAAACGCTTTGCGCCCTGTAATTACTGAACCAAGACTTGCAGTATTATAATACTTATTTTTTGGATGAGGGAGAAAAAAGTAAATTGATGATGCCAGAGAGAGAGCAAGAGAGAAGCTGAAATGTAAAGCATCTTTTGGGGATGTTGGTTCTATGACATTAAGATGGCAGGAGAATGCTCCCTTTTAAAAAACCTCTCAGATAGACCAAGGAAAACTCTGCAGACCAGTATTGGAAGTGGTTTTTGGACTACATCTCCCATCCTCCCCACTCGCTGATGGCTGACATCCAAGCTGAAGCTCTAACCAAGCAGCCAGAGTGTATCTTGGTGTAGCACAGTGGTTCCCAGATGTTGGTCCTCCAGATGTTATATAAGGGTGTTATATAAAATGGCAAAAGGTTTGATTTTTGATTTTTGGAATATATATATATATATATATTGTAAAGCCATGGACACCTGAATCTGTGGATAAAGAATCTGTGGATACGTTGGACAGACTCCTTCTGTCTCTGAGTCCAAGCCTGGCTATATAACTCTTATATGTAATATATAAGATTAGAAATTCCTTGCAGATTAGAGATGAGCTGTTTTTCCACGCGGAAGGAAGCTATCTTTGGAGAACTTTGCCCTTGTGTGTGTTCTGGTGTCACTTTATTATTTATTATTCTAAACAGTGTTGTGTATGTATCTCGGTCCAATCCTTTCCTGACCTTCGGTGTGGTCAAGGGTCCTCCTTCGCACAAGCCTTTGGCTGGCAGAGGAGAAATGGGCACCAGAGAACTATGCTCAGTTGTGGTCTTTTCCAATTTTTCTGTGCAAAGATAAGAGGGGTTTTCTATCTTTTTAATGCAGGTACTTCTTGGCGGTAGGCAGCGTCATGAAACTGATGTCTTTAAATGAAGTTGCAGCTATGTATTGCCTTCTTTCTTTGGAGTAAAAAATCATTTTCAGAGAAGCACAGAATTATAGGACTGGAAGGAAGGGGCCTTGTGGGTCCAAACCAGTGAGGATCTGCAGCTATTTTCAAGATATCCAGATATATGTAATGGAGAAGCTTCCACCCAGGAAACTTTTGGAGGTCTTTAAACAGAGGCTGGATGGCCATCTGTCGGGGATGCTTTGATTGGGAGTTCCTGCATGGCAGGGGGTTGGACTGGATGGCCCTTGTGGTCTCTTCCAACTCTATGATTCTATGATTCTAAGAGAATTCAAACCTTTTTGGATTAGGTTCAGGTTAGAGGATGGGGTGGCTTGACTGGCCTTGGGTTCAAATTTTCCAGCATTCCCATTGCCACGGTGGCTACCGCAGGCTTGCAAGAACCCTTCATCCGAAGCACAAAGTCCATCTCTTGTTGTTGTTGTTCCTTGGAAGCTGGCACCTGAAGGTAGACTTCCTTTGGACATGGAGGATCGACAGATCCCTGGTGACTAATGTTGATGATTCCTCCCGCATCTGGGGAATGCCCAGATGAATGGAAGGATTACACCACAGGATGCTGACGGTGCAATTGTCCCACGCTCATTCGGTGTAATATTTGCACCAACTCGTGCAATCTCATCCAACCAGAGTCCTCTTCGTCCGTCTGGGCACTGTCTTCCAAAAATGCATGTGGATAGATCGCAATACATTTCGTTTCCTGAAATGTTCTTAGAGCTTGAGCAGGAAAATACAAGGAGACAAGTTCCTCAAAGCAGAAAGCAACATTTCTGGGGCTGGAGCTTATGAAATGCTTTTGCAACTGAACTTAATTAGATTTGGCTCCAGCTCAATGGTTCCCCATCTTGGGTCCTCTAGGTATCTTGGACTTCACCTCCCAGAAGCCCCAACCAGCTTGGCTAGGAGCTATGGGAGCTGAAGTGCAAAACCTCTGGAAGACCAACGTTTGGGAGCTGAAGTCCAAAACAGCTGGAAGACCAAATTCTGGACCTGGCCAGCTGCTGGCATCTATCTCTCCATCCATCAGCCATAACATCTGTGGAAAGATTCAGGAGAAACACGACTTCTCAAACTTTGCTCCTCCAAAGGTTTTGGACTTGGGCTGCTGCCATGCTGAAGAAAGGACATTGCTCTAACTTTTCCGGCTCAATGCTATGGAATCCTGGGATTTGTAGTTTGGTGGGACACTGGAAGAGAAGACTAAATAGCTCTTGGATGCATGCTGGGTGCCTTCAAGTTGGTTCCGACTTAAGCCAACCCTAAGCCAACCCTATCATGGGGTTTTCTTGGCAGGATTTATTCAGAGGAGCTTTGCCATTACCCCCCTCTGAGGCTGAGAGTGTGTGACTTGCCTAAGGTCACCCAGTGGGTTTTGATTCTGAGTGGGAATTGAACTCAGGACTCCAGAGTCCTAGCCCAATGCTCAAACCACTATGCCCAGAACCTTTAGCCATGGCAGTTAAAGTGGTGTCAAAGAGCTTTATTTTTGCAGTGTAGATGCATCCTTTGACTCCCAAGAGCCAGGAATTCTGGGAACTGAAGTCTTAAACATCTGGAGGCCCAAAGTTTGAGAATCACTGTTCTGGCCACACACTCCTTGTTTGGATCCAGAGTGAAACCAGTGCACAAAAGCTGGGACTGAATGGTGTTTTTAAGGGGAAAGGTGTGTCATTTCCCACAACTGTGTTTTTTGCATTGCGACCCCAGCAAAGTTGCAGCTCACAAGGGCTTTCTGTGGGGAGATGCTCTCTTGCAGCCGCAGCCTGGATTGAAATGGTTGTTTATGGTTTATGTCGGCTTTTAAGGAGCAGCGCTTTATCTTGTCTGGTCTTGCAACAGCCTGAGAAGTAGGCCACTCTTGCTCCCATTTTACAGATGGGAAACTGAGATTGCAAGGAGTTGCCTAAGGCCAAATGAACCGCGATGACTCTCTAAACATCTGAGAGGGAGAAGCTGCCCCTTTCTCCCCCTTTTAGCCTTTTGAAATGGAATAAATTGGATTTTTTTCCCTGCTTATGTTTCTGCATAATTGGAAGGGACCCCTAAGGTCATCCAGTCTAACCCCTTGGTCAGGGCAGAGAGCCACAGCTAAAGCATCCCTGAGAACTGGTAAGTGGCTACCAACCTCTGCTTTAAAAACCTCCATCGAAGGAGAGTCCATTTTGTAGTTGTTGTTGTGTGCCTTCAAATTGTTTCTGACTTATGGTGACCCTATCGTAGGTTTTTCTTGGCAAGATTTGTTCAGAGGAGGTTTGCCATTGCCATCCCCTGAGGCTGAGAGAGTGTGACTTGCCCAAGGTCACCCAGTGGGTTGACATGGCCAAGCCAGGATTCGAACCCTGGTCTCCAGAGTCATAGTCCAATGCTCAAAGCATTCTGTCAAACATCTCTTACCATCAAGAAGTCTGTCTCAATGCTAAGTGCTTCCTAGTGTTTCGTTAAGAGGCTATAATTGAGCATATGCAGAGTATATTTCGCAACGGGAGTTATTAAACAGTGAATCTGGATCCAAATCTGCTGCCTTCCAAGGAAAACTGGACCCCAGGACTTTAAACATAAAATGGAGGATGCCAACATTTGGACAGATTTATGTATTTGGCCTGGCTATGGGATAAGAAAATGGCATGTTAAGTGTGGAGACATCCTAGTCAAGGCTTGGAAAATGTCCCAGGTTTTGGATGACAGCTTCCAGAATCCCCTAGCCACTGTGGCCAGAGTCTAGCAGACTGGTTGGGGGATTCTGGGATGTGTCTTAAGCTTAAAGTCTTAAACCAAGACTCAGTAGGTATGTAAATCTTGGCTTTTGGCTTCTTTTTGTGAAAGGATGGACAATTGCTGTAGTCTTTGCAGGAGAAAAAGAATGCCCTATGTACACCTGAGTGTCCCAAAGTGTTTTGCAGAACTCCTCTGAGCACAAAATCAACTTTTTTTTGGTGCCAAAAATACACTTACTGCACAAAAAATGTGTTTCTTGCACAGAAAAATATACCTCTTTTATG